TGAAACAAATTATGTAATATTACTTCGGTTCGATCTACGCAAATTTTAACTTTTTTAAGTTCCAAATATTAATTAATTTTTTGAAAAATTAATATTTTTAATTTCACCATTTATTATTTTGTGACTTCATTACGATCCGGAAAAACAATAAAAAACATTTCATTTAAATTTAAAAAAATAAAAAAATGTTTGCGGAATGAGCAACTCGCCCCCACCAATAAATGAGTTGGCGTGAAGAGACAAGCCGACTTTTTGGAGACAAGCTAACTCATAATCGGCTTGTCCCAAAGTGTGCAAGAAAGTGGATGAGCAGAGCCAGCTCGGCAAGGATGATTAACACCCCTAAAAATCGAGTGAAGGCCATTTGTAGAAACCAAAATGCCTCATAATTTCTAACCCTCGAGCGATTTTTGTCAATAATTTACAGAGCACTCCTGTGAGATTTTCATAGAAAAACTTGTCTGAAAAGACCCTATGAGGAGAGAGGGGAAAGAACTCTACTTGACATTCTGTTAAATTACCACTTCACTTGCGTTATTCAAATGTCCTAACAAGGATTTGAAAACTAACTTGTTCATTTTCTCTAGATACGGAACGTTCTGACCTGAATTGGCGTTCGTCTCGGGATGGTCTAGATACAGGTGATCGTTCTGACACATCAGGGATCAATTTAAACCGATTCAGTCAACTGACTGCAAGTTAAAAATAAGAACGGAGCACAAATTGCAAAACAAGTTATGCACATTTTTCACGTCTCTTTCAGCTAAGTTTAACTGGTTAACAGTCACTGAGTTCCAATTCGATCATCTACGCTGGCACAGGCATTTCATGCTTCTAGATACCGAATTTCACCACAAGTTTTAGCATAAAACCCAACACATAATCCTAAAAGGCTAAAACATACCGAGGATGTTTTCCAACCTGAAAAGAGGCTCTCTCTTCCCTTCAACTAATTGTTCCATTATATACACGAAGAGAGACCAGCAGCCAGAAAATGTTCCTGTTACAACCATCCAGAAGAAACTGCAGCCTGCCAATAAACATCACCCGTCACAACAACAGATAATTCATTAGGAATTTTGGATAAGCTAGTATTTAGAACATCCTAATCCCAGATCCAACAGATAATGTTAGGTTAAAAACACTGATGGACAGAACTTTTAATAAAATTTCACGTTGGCCATTAAATGTCATTTTGTTTTAAGTTAATAAATTAAACTTTGTTTGCAGCTCGTCCACAAACTTCAACATTTGTTACAATTTGGTAACTTTGCCTATACATATAAGTTTGACTAACTGAAAGGTTGATGTGGCAGTTTAGTTGGCAAATAACTAGACAGCCACATCACGTTTTATGTTGAGTAATGCGTATGTACAAACTGGGGATGACAGGGTAGTTTAGTTGGCAAATAACTAGACAGCCACATCACATTTTCCGTTGACTATTACTATATGTACAAACTAGGGATGACGGGGCAATTTAGTGGCAATAACTAGACCGCCACATCATTTTTTTCATTGAGTAATGCTATATGCACAAATTGGAAATGATCCCCATGTGAGAGGGCATTAAACGATGGATTTGTCTACTTGTACATTATGGATACCATAATGGTATCCATAATGTACAAGTAGCACATCCCTTAAATGATAAAGCAAATAAAGTGGGTCTCATATTCACACATTTAATTGATGTGTTCATTTCACCACACGTCACCTACTACATCACAAGGGGATGATCCACAATTTTGTACATATAACATTATTCTTTTCTGTTAGTCAAACTAATGTGTATAGACTAAATAACTAACTCGAAATCAAGTCGAAGTTGAGGGACCAATTTGGTATAAATGAAGTTTAATGATCGTAAGTGTATTTAACCCAATAATAATAACAGGAACGAGAAGTGCTATATTTACCACAGTACTTCACGTAAAGATCAACTTCCCTCCGCGTTTCATGTCCCGTTTTGATAGTCTACTGCTTTCTTCCCAATTCCAGATATGTGAACACGCATTTCACATTTGCCAATAAGCTCAAATATGCAGATATCTCCCATCTGGATATCATTATCACGAACAAACGCCATCCACCCTCCACAGAAAGTATGCAATGTCCGCACCTTCATAGTAGGGATCGAATTTACAGTCCAACATTCTCCTTTCAAATTATGAAGAACAATCTCCGCTCTGCAGTTTGGGAGGTGATCCATTGAAAACTGATAGGGAACTTTCTGTAAAATAGATTTCAGAAATATGACCATTGAGTGATAAGGGGTGAAAAAGGCAATTTGCAGAAAAACAACTAAACTGTACAAGTATTACGAGTTAATGCGAGATTGTGAATAAAGATCCTTAAACCTAGCCGTGCCAGACACTAGAGGCACTAAAATTAAATAAAAGAGGACGATGCTTCAATTTATCATCGTCAACTATATCAACTGTAAGCAATAATCCCGTGAGAACTTGTACCTCAGAGTTTAACATGATAACGTCATATTTTTCAGATTTTATATCAAACACTGCAAGCATAAATCTATATGTATGGTCCATGAGTTATATTCTGACAATTATTGAATATTATATTTTGTATTCTTTTTTTCTTTTCAATATGTGGAATAAAACTAGAGAAGCATGTAAACAGTCATTATGAAAAAAAGCTTACAAATGTAAAGAAATCTTTTTTTTTTATTATTATGGGACACATTTGACATGAAAAACAGGAATATTACATGTTAAATTTTAAAAAAAAAATTGAGCGAATAACAAAATCACCAAAAAAAAACACTGCTTACCAGAGTATAAGAACCACTAATGTTGAACTTCTTCATACTTTTCACGAAATGAGGCAAATTGGAGACAAAAGACTGAACAGCTATTTTTTCTTCAGGTGCAGACTTCATTGACATACATCCTTTCGCATAAGGACCCTGCTTGTTCGAGAAGCCAATTTTTTTCTGGATATCTGTTATAATTTTGCAGTAGAACTAGTCAGCCAAAATAACAGATTCTCAGAGAACAGATATCACCTGAGCAGAGAAAGTTAATTAGTTACCTGATTCTCCTATGCAAGTATGCGAGGAGAAAGAAGATCCATTCTTGCTATTAGCAAGTCCGCTTATTTTCTTTGATTTACGTCTCGATATTTTATGTGATGTTCCAGCAGAACCATTAACGTTCCTGTTATGAAATGCTTCGCCAACATGCCCATCTATCCCTTCCTTTCCCACATGCAGTATTCGCACTTGCAGCTCATACTTGTGCACAAGCTCAAAGATGCAGATATCTCCCAAATCAATAGTATTATCACGGACAAAGCTCAACCATCCTCCACAGAAAGTATGTGAAGTATGGACTTTTGTGGTGGGGATTGAATTTACTGTCCAACTTTCTCCTTTTAAATTACGAAGCACAATCTTAACTTTGCATTTGGGAAGATGTTCCATTGCAAACTGATAAGGGACATTCTGCATAACAAGCAAGGAGAAGCCTGAAAACGAGGGTAAAATAATGACGGATGAAAGAACATAAACACGAAAATGCTCAAGAGTAAGGGCTGCCAATTAACTTACTTGCACGAAATGTCTCATGTAAAGAGTCAATATGATTGTTATTAGATAGTTAGATTTGATTATTGTCGAGGGACAAATCCCATATTGATTAAACATAAAATAAATAACCACCATATAAGGACTTGGACTACTCCTTTTAAAAAGGTAGACCTTTTTAAGATGGAACCTAAATATTAATATGGCATCAAAACCTATTAAGCTCAATTGAGCAATTTAATACGACTAAGACTCAAACTAGCATAGAGTTTAAAGATTGATATGTTCAAACAAGCCACCATTTTGCATGGACATGTTAATGGATAAATTCCACATAGAATAAGATAGAAATAAAAAACAGCATAAGGACTTGTCAGGTACTTAAAAAGACTGATGATAGTGGGAGAAGTATAAGAAAGAACTCATCCTACATTTTCGAGGATTGTTGTTTTACCTTTATTTAATGCTTTACCCTTAGAAAGTAATTACTGGTCTGTGGGGTTTGGAATTGGACCTACCCCTTTTCAGGAGGTCTAAAAATGGTCAGTACAAATAACTCTCGAGAAAAAGGCTACTCTTCGTAACAAGGTAGACCTATTATTAATAAGGAATGGGAGCTTGAATATATTTAGAAAATAAGATTAGAGCGAGTAGGTGAAATGAAGTACTATAGGTATTTAGTTCTACACAATTGCTATTCAACTAGTTGTGCTTAATGATATTGAGTGTGGGCTTTCAAAGGAAAACATATTCATAAGACGAAAGCAATAGATATAAAGATGATAAGATGGATGTACACCTATACTATAATAGATATTATAAGAAATTCAGATGAAAGACAATAAGGCAACACCAACTAAAAAATTTCATGAAAGATGACTTCGATGGTTAAAGCATGTCTTCTGCAAACCCAAAGAATCTCAATTCATGAGAGCGATTAGATTCAGGGGTAAAAGTTATAAGGGGGTGGTATACACCGAAAATAACATGGCTTTATGTGGTAGCAGAATGATTTGATTTCATTAGATTTTATCCAATGCAGTGCCAGATTGTATAGGTGGCAAAAAAAGGATTCATGTATGTGATCCCAACTTTAATGATAGTAAAGTTTAGCTCGTCGTCTTTGTTGGTCAAGAGAGACAAGGTTCAGTTTACCTTCCTGTTTAGTATCTTAGTCAGGCTTATGAAGTGCATAGATAAAATGGATTGAATACTTTGATGCACAGCATGTTGAAGTGTAAAAATAGCATGAGGTTATTTAAGTCATTTCAACTTCTTTCATTCTGTTAAATTAGTTGCCATTGTGTATAAATAGGCTGCTCCATTCCTCAGTAAAAGTGTGAGATTCATTTTGGCTGAATTGATTTTCATTTCTCCCGAGTTCAGAACATTACTTTCACATTTCATCGTGGTATCAAAGCAATAGAGCTTCCCTGCGATGGCGAATAATTCTAGTGTTCAGGCGGGAAGTCAGGCTAATCATGCTAATTCATTCGTCGAGTCATCAGCTGAAGATGCAGCTGTAGGAGATGTGATTTCTCTGGTTAATTGACTGATGAGTGATCCAACCAGTCCTTATTATCTTCTTTATGGAGATAACACCGGTATGCAGCTTATTTCAATTACACTTATTGAAGAAAACTATGCGACACGGAGTCGAGCAACAACCATGGCGCTTAGTGTTAAGAATAAGGAAGGTTTTGTTGATGGATCTATTACAAAGCCGTCTCGTGATGATCCTCTTTACAATGCTTGGAAGAGGTGCAATCATGTGATTTCCTCTTAGATTATAAATTACATTCCTAAGGAACTTTATTCAAGTGTAATGCACAAAGATTCAACGAAAGATATATGGATTGAACTTCGAGATCCATACAGTCAGGAGAATGGTCCTCGGATCTATGAACTGAAGAAACAAATTGCTTCGATATCTCAAGCAAACAATTCAGTTAACTCCTATTTCAATAGACTGAAAGGACTTTGGGGGGAATTAGAGAATTATAGACCTGGTGTTGATAACATTGATTACAAATGCGAAGATCAGATCATGCAATTCCTCATGCGTCTAGATGAACACTTTGCTGGTGTTAGAGGTCACATCCTACTGATGGATCCGTTAACTTCACCGAATAAGGTATTTGCACTTGTTTTACAAGATGAGAGGCAAAAGGAGGTGGTTGCTAATAGACAAAGAACACATGATGCAGCAGTTTTTGCTGGAAAAGTAGTGAAGAGACCTTTTAATCAGAGGCTTAATTCAATTAATTTTTCTCAGAAGAAAGAGAAGCCTATATGTAGTTATTGTGGTAGGCTTGGGCATCTCAAAGGTAAATATTACAAGTTGATAGGTTATTCTCCTAATCACAAGTTTGGTAAAGGAAAACCTCCGATAGTTAATGCTGTTGGACAAGTACATCATTGCCAAACATCTCATAATGATGCTTCAGGGACACTGAATTCTCAGACACACCTTACAATCACTCCAAATCAGTGCCAGGAGATCTTGTTTATGTTAATGCCTTAATTGCAAAGCCAACTCTCGACCTGTAGTCCACAGCCTCAACGGGTGGTTTCTTCTTCATCTCCAGAGCCTGATTCATTTGCATTCCCAGGTAATCACATTTAATTTAATGCTACTTATGCTTCCTCAATAGCAGATAAATGAATCATAGATACTAGAGCTTCTAAACACACGGTGTGCTCTATTGAGCATTTAGCCATTGTTACTGCTATTGTTGGTACTTCTGTAAAGCTGTCTAATGGTGTTAATGTTGCTGTTACTCACGTTGGGACAGTGAAGTTGTCACCTACTTTACTCCTGACCAATGTGCTTGTTGTACCATCTTTTAAATTCAACTTGATATCTATCGGCAAGTCATCATCTCAAATCAGATCCTGATATCTTCAACATTAGAAACTCTGTTGTTCCTTCTAACGCTGTCTTTAGTCCCAGTTTTCCTTTTGAATGCAATAAATCTAATCCTGTTTGTAATACCATTGACAATACTAATGTCAAGATGGATATTGATATTTAACATTGTCGATTAGGACATTTGCCCATTTCCAAACTGTCCTTGTTGCATAAATCTATTCCTAATATTATTGTCAACAAGGAATTACATTGCACTGTCTGTCCCTTAGCCAAACAACACAGATTACCTTTTCTAAATAGTGATACTAAAGCCTCACAGGTGTTTGACATCATTCATTGTGACATTTGAGGACTATATTCAGTCCCTTCCTTAGATAGTGCCAAGTATTTCCTAACTATTGTTGATGACTATAGCAGAATGACATGGACATACCTCGTGAGGGAAAAATCTCAAACTAGAAATCTCATTTAGTCATTTTATTATCTTATTCAAACTCACTTTCAGCATAATATGAAGACTCTCCGGTCTAATAATGGCTTAGAGTTTCACGAGTGTTTTCTATCTTTCCAAAGGAATTGTACATCAGTTAAGTTGCGTTGAAACACCACAACAAAACGGTGTGGTTGAGAGAAAACACTAGCTCCTGTTAAACATTGCTAGAGGCCTTAAATTCCAAGCTAATTTACCTCATCATTTTTGGGGAGATTGCATATTGACAGCCACACACATTATAAACAGAACACCTACCAAATTGCTTGCTGAGAAGTCCCCTTATGAAAAGCTTTTCCATACCACACCTTCCTATAGCCATCTCAAGGTTTTCGGATGTCTTTGCTATGTCTCAACCTTTAAAAAAAATAGAACCAAGTTTGATCTCAGGGTTGTACCCTGCATCATCATTGGTTATCCATATGGAATGAAGGCATATAAGCTAAAAAATCTCAAAACCAAGGTTGGTTTTGTGTCTAGAGATGTCTATTTTCATGCGAATATATTTCATTTCCATCATCCTTCTTTCCTAGTCTTCTTATCAAAATCTGATGTTATCAATCAACAACGAAACCCAAAAGAAAGCTCAAAGATCATTGACACCCAACACTTGTCAACCTTTTATAGTCCAGTTTAATGATTTTTTAGAGCACTCATGGAATACACGTGGCAAATAAACAAAATATTTTTAATCAAAAACATAAATAAATTAAAATCTGAAGGAAAAAGAAGAACTCACCAGAGTGTATGAACCACTTATATTGAATCTTTTCATGACTTTTGTAAAATTGGGGAAAGACGAAGTGAAAGATTGCACTACTCTTTCTGCTTCTGATGCTGATAACAGCATGTCTAGCTTTGTGTTCCTATTAGTAATTGGTCGGTCTGCTTCAAAAAACCCAAACACGATTAATTTAAGAATTACTAGGCCTTAAAAAACTTAAACACATGACCATGTAATGGATTCTAGGTTTTAACCATGAATTAAATTGATGATAGCATATGAGGGCTCCTTTTGCATCCAAAGAGCAGTTAAATCGTGTTAATTTTATTTTTTTTGGAACAAGTCCACAAATGTTTACAAAGTGCTAAGGTCATTCGAAGGCAAATGTTTTTCCAGTTTTGTCCTCTTATACTTAGCTACACCAGTCATTTGTTCACCCAAAAAACTTTTAACATCTAATTAATCATAGCAATTCTATTTTCATGTACTCTCAACTTTGAAAATTGGAAAAAAGAATCAATTTGAACTACAAGTCAACAGAATCAAGCCATAGTCAACTCTACACATTCATAGAAGACATTAGCCTCAACACATTTAGATTTCTGCTCTGGCTTTACTAATTGAATTTTTTTTGTTGCTAAAATTTATTTTAAATATTGACCTTCTTACTTTGTTCTCTATTTAATTTGTACATTGCATAAGCTTTAAATAGAAGTTCGCAAAAGGAAAAAAAGATAAAAAATCATATGAACTACATATAAATACATCTTAACATATATTATGTAGGCAGTAGGTAGAATATTTGGTTTTGATAAAGATAGTTTTTCAATTCCCCCACAGCAAGAAACTATCTGTTTTTAGCAATATTGTTAAGTAGCTATCCATTGCAGATGGCAAAAATTTTGGGAGGCATTTACCTTAGAAAAGTAAATGTCAACCGCAAACCCCAAATAAAGAACAGTGAGCACTTTTACCTGAAATCTCATTGAAAACTTCGGCATGAGATGGTACAGCAACAGTGACAAAATTCTTTAATTTACTGTTGACATCAGCTTCTTGCAGACACTCTTCCTCATCTATACCACATATACAATTTTCTTGATTCTTAGTAAAGCATTCAGAATGCATTTTAGAGCTTCGTATTTTCTTCGGAACACCTTCCATGATGCTGTCTAAGTAACCGGAGTTTTCCCTGTCTCTTTTTTTCGCTTCATGACTACCGTAGTTGCTTAAATCTTGACTGCTCACAGCACTGAATGCAGATTCCTTCTCGCATAAACTCCTATCGAAAACTTGCACTGTAAAATGCAAATCACCATCGTATCTGAAAACAAGAGTATCACCTTGTTCAAGAGAGTGATCTCTAACAAAAGCTGCCCATCCATCATGGAAGAATAACCTATCACCAAGCAAAATGATGTCTGCATACCAAGTGTTACCACTAGGACCTACTATCGAAGCCGTTCCTAACCCGCTTCCTTCAACATGTTTTATGAATCTGAAGGGAATATTCTGTGAGAGAAAGTACTTAAATAATGTCAGTAACACGCGACACAATGGATTTACGTCTAAATTACAGTGATAAATTACTTGAAAACCGCATTTAGAGCGATACTCATCTCTCCATCAATATAACATAAATTACATATGACGAATAATAGGAGTATCAACCTTGATAGACTACTTACAATAAAAAATATTCTCATGGTTAAGCAAGCACATTGCCCATATGCAGTGAAATTGAGTATAAAAAGAAAGCAAAACCCCTTGATAAACATATGATAAAAAAATAGCAATTTTTAGCTATTATACAAATGAAAAGAGTTTAGTCCTTGACTTCATAGTTATAGTTGTCCAAAGTTGTTTAGATCAACATTAGAAGATACGAACCTCAAAGTTGCATTGAAGACTTGAAAATAACACACACTTCAGTACCACTTGTAATATCTCAGATACATTATGTAGAATAATTCACCACCAATGATAAAGTAAAATGGAATTAACACGCAATTATTTAAGCCTAACACTCATGACCAACTTTAAAACAAAACGCAGCCTTTTCACCTACACAAGTAATAATGTCAATTTTAATCTATTAAAAATTTAACAAACTTTTAAGAAATATGGTTCCCATCAAGTTTGGTTCAGTTAAACTGATTTCCCTTCCTAACTAAAGAACAAAACATATCCTGATATCTGTATATTATTATCAACGAAACAAACTGCATTACCAGTCAAATAATTTATAACCAATATTAAAACCCTCACTTTTCTCAACATTTGAAAATTTTCGATTTTTAAAATTAAGTAGCACCTAGCAAAAACGAAATCTCATGAAATCCAGACAAATTAGACAATCAAAGACTTTGTTTCTCAATCCATTTTTATTAATCACGGTCCTCATTGCATTTCACCCCAGAAAATAAAAAGTAAAATTCAAACCTGCCTACACACTTCAACCCATACGCATAAAAATACAGTGAAACCAGAAAAAAAACACAATCGTTTTTCAATCAATTTTTATCAATCACGACCCACATTACATTTTACCCGAAATTTAACTAATTCATACTAATAAGAACTAAAATCTAGGCACGCGTACACAACCCATATGCATAAAAATACACATAATAAATATGAGGAAATGAAAAGCAAATTTACCAGTTTTTCGCAGCATAAAGAAGGGTCAAAACCCAAAATAAAGTGAGGCCTTCTCAAATCCAACATCTCTTTCTTTCTCTTTTTCTATTTCTCTCAGCTGCTTATGGGTGAAAGGAAAAACCAAGAAAATTTGATGATCAACATTTTGTTGTGAATCATGTTTGAGATTTGGGATTTTTGTGAGAAATGGCAGGAAAGAAGCAGAGAAATCTAGGTACCTAAGTGAATAAATAATGAATAAAATGAAAGGGACGTAAATGAATTATTATGAAAGTAAGGGACCTTGATGGAGTGGATCGTGAAAACTTTGGAAGAAGAGGAGAGATGGACACAACGGATTTAAAAGGTTCATTAGTCGGTGAACTCCGCATTAGTTTACTTATTGAACTTTAGGGTTGTTTGATGACGAATGTATTTTAAATAGAGATAGATGAAAGATATGTGAGTAAAAATTAAGGAAAGTTATCGATATGATGAAAAATATTATTTTATTGAAGAACGTGTGATTGATGATGAATTTTGAAAAAATGTGTATCAAATACAGGCTTAAAATATTTTAACATGATTATTTAACATTAACGCATTGCACTCCTCCACTCACCATAATTCACAAGTCATTAAATTTTAAAATGATTTCGAGTAATTTCTAAATTTAGCACGTTGCATTTCATTGTTCACTCACCATGTTTCATTAGTAATTGAATTTATACATTCATCACGCTTTATTCGCCGAACTTTAAAATACTATCGAAAAGCCACTAAACTTCATAATATTTTTTTCAAATAAAATTGATTTTCTATGAAATTCGACCTAAATTAAGAAAGTAAAATGAAATAAGTATCGACTAAATAATGTCATTTTCAATCTAAGACGACAATATTGATATTGGTAAAAAAAAAATATAATTTCTCTAGTAATCAAAACTGTGGTCAAGTCAAAAGAATATTGCTAATTTTAAATTGGCGTAAATCTTAATTTATATTATAATCTTATTTTCCAGCGAGACAATAAAATAGAGAATTTATGTATTTATTTTGCTTGAGATCGTAGACCCAAATCAATAAAATAAAAAATTGTATTTTCAAAAAGGCATTGAAATTTTCGATTTAGATTCAATAATGTTAATCATGTTTAAAGAATATAATTTTTTAGAATTGTCATAAGGTAACTCAAGAGAAAATAAGGGCATCGTCTTTGTGGATTGTTTTTTATATTTCAAAAATTTTAATTTTTGAACAGTTGGATTCAATAAATTCAATCACCACTCGAAAGCACTTTAAAATTTAATGAGTAAAATGTGATGAATATATGAGTTCAGTGACTAATGAAATATGTGGGTGGGTGAGTGAGTGAGTGAGTGAGTGATTGATATAGTGCAATATATTAAAATTCAGTGACTATTCGAAAATATTTTAAAGTTCGATAACTAAAGCACGACGAAAATATAAATTCAGTAACTAATGAAACATTTGACTCACAAATAATGTGAGATGCTGCTTAAACACGGTTAGCCCCTTTTTGATCCACATTATTTTTTTCATTCTCATTCTTCTACTCATTTTCAGCCACACATTTTTCAATAAAATAATATTTTCAATCACATCAATAACTTTTCATTCTTTTTTAATCATATATTCCCCATCATATCACTTTAAAAAAATGCACTCTCATTTTAATGTGCACCAAACGGGCTCTTCTAATCTTAATACATATTTTTTTGTCACATCACTTGTTAATAATGACGAAAAAAAAGAATACGCATTTTCAGTATAAATTTGAAAAAAACATTTTGGGTGGCAACTGAAAATGAATACATATTTGGTAATCAAATTCCGTTACCATAATTACAAAAATTGTACATATAGGTGAAAATTTTGATAGCACATGAATAGCTAATTAAGAAGGGGTCAAATCAAATAATTAGATAGATTAATTCAAATAATATGCTCGAATACGAAAGTAATAAGTAAAGAGAGATAGAGAATGCAAACGATATAATTATGGAGGTTCGATCGCAATGATCTATGTCCTTCGTTATCAAGCTCTTTCGACACGAGCAATGTCAATTTCACTATTTTGATAGACTTGTGGTGCAATCCAATCCTTTACAAAGTTTTCGGTGACTTACAAATAAGGAACATCGATCATTATACAACGTTGAGCTTTAAGAGACCTCAACACGATCCACAACTTTAAAGAAGTTGATTTTACAAATTGAAATTTCTCTTTTAATAAATGATATGATCAGCACAAAGTACCAATGAGAAATAAGCTAAGACTTTAACAAATAGCAATAAATGAAACTCAAGTGTTATTATATATGCAAAACTTTGATGTGTAAAATGATTTTTAAAAGTTAATTTGATAAAAAAAAAAAAATTCAAAACTAAAATGATTTGATAATAATAAATGATATGAGAAATTAATACAATTTTGCTCAAAATAATCTCGCTTGAATGATCGTAAGTTTGTTTTTATAATGAACGACAAGTGAATTGATATTTATAGCAGTTAAAAATGTTAAATTCTTTCTTCAAACCGGACGATCATCCGGATGTCCGGAACGGTACTGAACGACTGAACAACGGCTACTTTTTCAGAAATCAGAACAATCAAAAATTTGACCATTGGAGGTGAACCGGACGTCCGGATGGACAAAATAGCGTCTGGTTTGTCCATTCAATTTTCGAACACAAGATAGGCTTTTGCATAACGTTTTTACTTGATTTTTCAAGGTAAGTGACGCTAGTAGGATTGAAAATTAAGTTGAAATTCTTACATTTGAAAAATAAATTTTACTTAAGTAAATTTCGTCACTTGAACTTTCAATGAGTCATTGCTAAGAATTAAAGTATTTTATCTTTACAAGTAAGTTCAAACATATAGTTATAATATTTTCGATTGATTTGGCGCGAGTGCACGATTTGTTGCTTGATTTTGAATTTGGCGCAACCGTTCGATTTGTCTCCGATTGTTTTGGCGCGAGTACTCAATTGAGAATGCTTTCAAGCTCGATTGTGAATGCTTGATTTCCATCTTGAGCTTTCTTGATTGTCATCTTCACGTCATTTGGTAGCAATTGTTTTGTCTCCAATTTGATCAAATTAGCAACATGTAACAATGAAAACTCGAATACAAATGTTAGAGATAAAAATATTTTGTTTGTTATAATCAAAACATAAGATCGATTATAAAGTTGGAGTGCATTATTACTTTCTTTTATGGACTAGTGGATAAGAATCTGCCTTGTTTATTAATTAGTAGGCTTTTTATATTGTCAATGGTATTTGTTAATAAACAAAACCACCTTATTTTTGTTGGAATTTAATGATTATGAATTGAAGGACTTTTTATGAAACCAGTGATTTCTCATCTTTAATTAAAGTGATTAACGTGAAAAATAGCTAAAAATATACCATGTTAAATGGAAAATGAGAATATGCATGCTATCTCACATGCCCATGGGACGAAAATCAAATTTTTAGTAAAATTCAATAAAATATTTCCAATAAAATATGTGGTTAGAATTTAATTTTAACTTTGATTTGAATTAAAATCCAAATTTTAATTTCTATCCAACGTGAACATTATTAATTAATTTGCAAACTGAAAAACTCCACTCTGCTTTATCTGAAATCCATATTGCATAACACACAATTCACTCTTCCAAGACAAAATTGGTTTACAAAAATTGAATCATACTATAGTGACATAATCCTTGAAACAATGGTTGACATAATGCCTCATAACACTTCATCATTGTACTGTTTTGAACAAAATTAAAATTTTCATTCAATTATATGTTGCCAACTAACATTATCTCTCTTCGTCTATCAACTCTTTCTGACAAAGTGGCATAACCCACAAAAAATTGGATAGTATACTCAATCTATCTATCTTCTCCTTCACAAACAAATCTTCTTTGTAAGAAGTTTTCGAGGGGCATTTTTAGAGCAAAATCCTCTACCAACACTGGCATACTTAGTTGCTCATGTTAAAAAGAACGAGCAAATCGACACTAAAACAAAAGGAATCCAAAAAATCGAAAAATCACTTTCCATTACAGACATGATTAGTTCAATATCATGAAACAGATGAAAATTGAACAAGCCACAACCTAACATGCCCGAGACTCAACAACCGAAGCAAAGACAAGGACAGCCTTCGAGGATGGCACAATTCTAACAAAGTTCCCCAAGAAATCGGTAAGCTTGATATTATCAATCATGGAGACATAGGCCATTAAACATCATCTATTCAATTGACTAATCACTTTGGTTACCTTAATTCTTAATTAGACGGTCTCTGGCATGCAGTAAATAACTGCCAGCTGATAAAAGCCATCAAAAGCGAGGTGAAAAGCTCAAAGCCGATTACTTTTGATAACTGCCACTCCAAGCCAAGCCTCAGGTAGCTGCAAAAACCACGAAGAGATGCACTTAAAACACTGTTTATCATGCCACTAAATTCAGACAAGAAACTAACTGAATCGACTCGGTGAGTATTACAGGTTCCGATTATATGGTTCTAAAGATGACAGAAAGAGGAACATGAGCATGTTTTGCTAAGCTCAAAAAGTTCACTTATAAGTAAATAAGTATTACAATAAATTATTTTTTTGATAGATTAAAATTGTAAATAAGTTACTTTTTGCAAGCAAGACAAGTTATTTTTCATTTGACCTTTTTTTTTACTTGACGAGTGAGAAAAAGTAACTTGTCCAGACATATTGGAAAAAAAAAGTTAATCTTTTGCTTCTTTTTAAGCTAGCCAAACATGATCAAGACTCATGATCGTCCATATTTGGATCTCTCTTACATACTGAAACGTATAATAAGCCCAATTTTTTTTTTATGGAATAACTAATACTTTTAAAGTAATTTTGCATCTTACACAACATCATTGTGGATTCTAATGTATCTATAAGCATGCATAATCACAAATTATAAGAAAAGATAAGTATGCCATAAGGCAAGAAGCCTGAGAGAGAAACAGACCTTGTGATTGATGGCATTGTTGCCACAATCCCTGCACATGCATATATTATAGGAATTAGAGTCTTCGG